GTCCAGCAAAAAACTGCATTTTTGCTTGACAGTCTACCTTCAACTAGTGAGGCGAATCGTAAGCGTAAATCAGCCCTATGCAAGAAATTGGTAAGTGTTTCCTATAATTTTCTGACTACTAAACGTCATGTATTATGCTAGAAGCATAAAATATTCGTTATTTGTGTGTAGTTGTCCAAATTGCCTGATATTTTCAAACTGGAGCGCATGAGCAATGTAGCAGTACCAAATTTTGGAGATTTCAATTTTGAAGAGCTACGCGCGCGTTCAAGGGCAAAGGAATAGTACCGAGTGTGGTGTGCACGTCATGCAGTGGATGCGCTATGGATCCAAGGATCTGGATAGAGTGGTTAGTATGTCGTCAAACAAATAACTTGTTTAATTTGTACTTTTATAGTTCTAACGAATTCTTACATGCCATAATGCAGATAGGAGAAGAACACAAATTACCGGCTCGAAAGGAGATTTTATGGTATCTGGCTACACATTTTGAAAACCGTGCACGAGAAAATCTTTTCAAGCATGTAGTAGAGGAATGCATGGAACGAGGCAAAGAGAGAAAGAGTTCAAACAAAAAAGCAAAGACATGAAATCATTAAGTTACAATGTTGCATTATTTAGACAATACGTTGAATTTGTATTTGCAAGGTTGTTTCCTGTTGGATTTTGAATGTTTTGTTTATTAGATTTGTTATACAATTATGGATGTTAAGGAATTTAGGATTTCAATCGTCTAGAACAAGTGGTCGACCACATACTCAAAGCGGTCAACCCCGTAGGCAGAGCACATGTTGACGTCGTGATGCTTAAGGTCGACCTATGATACCGTAGCAAAGTCCTAAACAATGTGGAATAAGGATGGAGTCCCGTGTGTTTCGCCTTTATAAAAAACGGTCGGCCATTCGTGTAAAGAGGTCGACATGTTTCTCCTTTATAAAAAACGGTCGACCATTCGTGTAAAGAGCTCGACCTAAATGGGTCGGATTAGCTTTTTACTTACTTCTCCTTGTCCAATTAGGATTTTGCGTACTTGTCCTTGTCGAATTATGATTTTATATATCCTTTACCAATTGGGATAAGTGTTCCACATACTAGTGAGGATAAGGAATTCGTCTACATTCTCTATAAATAGATGGAAGTCATAAGACTTTATTCGTACTTCGATTTATGCAATTTGTTGGAGTGAAGTTGTAATCTCATCGCTCTTATTGTGATCGTGTGTTGGTGGCAGTTTATTCTTATTCCGGTAGACCGTATCAATAAGTGGTCGACCTTGTTCGCTAAGGTATGTGTCGTGTGTGCCGGTTAAAGGTTCTCTATGGTTCACTTTTCCCCTAATTAGGTCGACCATCTCAACCTTGCGGTCGACCCTATCTGTGTAATTATGTGATGAGGTCGACCATACAGTGGATCCTGGTCGACCTCAGCTGTGTAATTTGGTAATTAGGTCGCCCATACAGTTGATCCAGGTCGACCTGACGAGAGCTTATTTTGTATGTATTTGACATTCAATTCGTATTCTGATTATTGCAGGATGGATAATAGAGATGATACAGATGATAGAGATGCTGACGAGATTAACTTCAATGAGGAACCAAATGATGCTCGAAGAGGATCTATGAATAATCCAGATGATACAGATGATGAAGTAATTGAGAATGATAAGGAAACAAAGGGTGCTGAAGAAGAATTTATGGATGATGAAGAAGCTACAGAATATGAACAACACATTTCTTCCATGGAGTTTCTAAACAGTAGAAGATGCAGAGAAATTTTATGATGCCTATGCTAAAGCGAAAGGGTTTAGCGTTCGACGTAGAGATCTTTGGAGGAGTCGTCAAGGAGTAGCAATTGGGAGGTCAATGGTATGTTCGAGAGAGGGGAATAGATAGAAGATGCATATAGATAAAAGAAGTTCGAACACGACAAAATCGTAAGATGATTAGACATTCTTGCAAGGCATCGTATACTGTACGCTTTGATCGGAATAAGAAACTGTGGGTTGTTGCTAAGTTCGACAAGAAGCACTCAAATCGTTGATGCAATGAAGAAGAAACTCAATTCTTTTGGTATCATCGAAATGTGAGTGAAGGAGACAGGGCTTTGGCGATAGGGATGCGACAGTCAGGAATAAAACGACACAACATTGTTCGGTTCATGAAGAATAAAGTTGGAGGATATGAGAATCTGGGGTACACTCCAACGGATTTGGATAAAGCTGTTCAGAAATCCCGAACAATTGACGATGATCTAATAGGAGATGTGAACCAAACATTGGGTTACTTGCAAAATAAACATACCTCTGATGCTGGCATCTTCTTCAAGTACACAACCAACGATGAAGGTGAATTAAACAATCTCTTCTGGTCGGACTCCACATCTAGAGCAGATTACCATTTTTTTGGGGATGTATAGGCATTCGATGCATGCTACAAGCGCAACAAGTACAATCGGCCATTTGTTATGATGGTTGGTGTAAATCACCACCACCGTAACATCATATATGGTTTTGCCCAGTTGGATAACGAGACAATCCCCAACTAAGTTTTATTGTTGAATACTTTTCTGGAGTGTATGAACTCTAAGATGCTGACTCGCTAAAACACAACACCTAACAATGGCCAAGTGTAACCAATGAAAGGGACTGCAGTATAGTGGCACAAGTAATAAATATCGAATCCACGGGTCTCTAGAGTTACCATTACTCAGCTTCAGTTCATTATCTAGCAAACTAGATTAAGGATTGATTAACTAAACTACTCTACTAACTAAACTAAGTAAAACTACTAATTACAGTTTGGGAACTCACTTAGGTATGATTCCCCCTAGCTCCTCAATTAGGTCCAAGTTGTAATTCCTTTTGGTTGATTTACTGTTGATTAAACGGCGGAAGTTCCGACAGTAGCTTGGAATCTCTTAAGCTGACCAAGCCCTCTCAGTCTAACTATCCGGCAGACGACTAGTCTTCACCGGGATAGAAAGCTGAAGCAATAAGCACAGAACTCCACTACCGGAATTGGATTCCAGTACAAAGGAGTAAACTGGCTAACTCTCGTATAGCCAATCTCCTACTACCGAATGATGAGACTCTAGCAACCTAATCAGATTCTATCTATCTCAGATTGCAGCAGGAATCAGGAAAAGTTGATCAGACTTCAATTGACTCAATAAACATGCATCATTCGATTATAATCAAACAATATAGCATCCAAAACTTCATACAAGAAAGATCCTAACTCATGGAACTAAGGTTCCTCAAAACCTAAGTGAAGGGAAGTTACTCCATAGAGAAGAGAGAGACTGCAGAAATCTGATGTAGATCTTCAATCTCCATCTCCAAGCTTGATTCCCGAGCTCCAATGGCGAAGAAATCCTCCAAAATAGCTCCAAGAATGTTCCCAAGTCGCTCTCTCTCTCTAGGGTTCGTCCCTTGGGTGTTTGGGATCCAAAACCCAGCTCTCCTCCTCTCCTTTGGCTGAAAATCGGGTTTTAAGCAGAAAATTCCGACTCACACGGCCAGGGTGGCACGGCCGTGTGGCTTACCCAGTTGCCCGTGTGAGTCAAAACGCTGCGTTCCAATTAGTTCGAATTCCAGGCTCTTTGCACGGCCAGAGTGGCACGGCCGTGTGAACTTCCTCTTTGCCCGTGTTTGCTCACGCAGAATTCCACACGGCCAGACTGGCCTCCTGCACGGCCGTGTGGATATCCTGCTCTGCCCGTGTTTGCTCTCGGCGAAACTCGCACGGCCAGACTACTCCTTCACACGGCCGTGTGATCATCAGGGCAGCCCGTGTGACCTCCTTTATGACTTGTCTCGGGCCCGATCTTCGCCCAATCGACCCCGAACTCGCTCCTAAACCTTCATTCACTTGCCAGGACCTGAAATATCACAAACAAGCACAACCTAGCGTGAAATCGGTCTAAAACACGAGAAACCACATCTCAAACGGTGTAAGAACAGGGGTGAAAACATGTGTAACTAACGGTCTATCAAACTCCCCCACACTTAACCGTTTGCTTGTCCCCAAGCAAACCTAACTCAAACCAATGCAACTCTCCAGACCTCTATAGCAACAAACAACCCAGATCGTAGGTAGAGGACTTCCTAGATCATTTAGCATCTTACGAGGTCAACCGACGCACAAGTCATCTCATAGCTTCTTCGGCGAGTCGGCATCATGGCAAACAGTGAACAGAGGACAAATGAATCGTGGATGGAGAGATTCTCAAAAACAAAGGATCATGGACTCACATTTTTCGAGGTGCTCTATTTTGTTCTTGAAGATGGTTGGAACCCCCTTTTTTTCTATTATTTTTCTTTTCTTTTCTTTTCAAGGGTCCCAACCTGCTCTTACCGGCCATGCCAGGAGCGGATGTCTCGAGCCTCGTGCGGGGGAAAGACATGTAAGGGGCTGGAGGTAGTAGGTGGAAATTGGGAACGGATTCCCGTCTCCCCTTACACACTTTCGCCCTATTCGCACGGGAGACGTTTATTTTGAAGCACATTTTTGAGCACCTGTTATTTTCAAAACATGATACAAGAGTCCATGACAGGTAGAAAATCCACAACACCACACAATTCAAGGGTCCTAAGATCACTAATTCACTCAATCAACCAACTCAATATGAAGAAGAAATGAGACTCCTTAAATGCATCAACATCCTCCATAGTGCTACACTACCTCCCTAGGTTGCATATTACTATAAAGACTGTCAATTCAAAGCATACTGAGCCGGCAATTGCAAGGAGACACGTACTTGGAGCCATCAAATTTAAAAAATTTGGACAGTGGACTAGGCTCCAAGCACACAAACAGCCAAACATTCACCCGCATAAATAATCGAACATCCCCCCACACTTAAGCACGGCATTGTCCTCAATGGAGGAAAGATAAGGAGGGTAGAACGAAGTTACCAGATCAAGGGTGAATGATGATGAACGGGTCAGGCGGTGCATTCCAGAAAGAGAGAGTAATCAGAACACAAACACCACACAAAATCTCACAAAGGTTGAGTTATTGACTCTAAAATCAAATAACAAAACTGACTCAACCGAGGAGAAATAGAGAAAGAAATGCAAACCGACTGGTTGGGTTGCCTCCCAACAAGCGCTTCTTTCACGTCGTGAGCCGGACGATGGCTCCTAAGTTTCGGTCCATGCTAGAACCTCCTTGAAGTTGAGGTTCTCGTCGATGAGGTGGAGTCTCAAGTCACGAGCATGTGGTGTGGCAGGTGATGAAGGCTCATGTACTTGATGCAGATGAAGTCTCCACCCTCGAGACCTCTTCTTCTCTTCTCTCGTCTCATTGCCCCAAACCAGATATGACAGCATCGATTGGCCACCATCGCGTCCACCAAGAGGGACCGATGTTGATGTGGCCTTGGTCTGGCAAAAAGACACTGCAAATGGGTCCTTGCCGAGCAGCTCCTCGAAGTTTGGTGGAGATATCAAATGTAACATAGGGCCGGTGCAAGCCTCTTCCACCTCAACTTCATCCTCAGCCTGGACGCCAATTGCTTCCTCAACCCCCCTTTCTTCTTCAAAATGTGGTCTCTCCCCTGGGAAAAGATCAAGAACCACCTCTTCTTTTCTTTCTTCCTCATCATCCACAACTTCCTTCCTCATCCTTGCTCGCTCTTCTTCTTCTAGAACAGATTGGAGAGCAAGTCGCCAAGCAATTTCTTCAATGGGATCATCTTGCATCTCCTCGCACGGGCCCAGCATGTTAGAGCATAAATGAGGAAAGGTGTGGTCTGCAACCAAAGGACTTTCCTGATCATGGTTATCATGGGAGTTCTCTGTGATAACTTCTGTATGCTCCTCAACGCTCTCATAGCCTTTGTCATCCTCCACCTCTTCTAGCGTGGCAGCAGAAAGGTGATCTTGAGCAAGATGTGAGCAAACTTGCTTCACCCACTCTGTTTGCTTCGCTGAGCGCTGAACAGTCTCCTCCATATCATGGAGAAATGAGGGATCAGAAGTGGCAAGGGATTTGATTTGAATATCCATCTTGGAGCATGATTTCTCAGTGTCTCGAGCAAACTGCTCCACGAAAAGCCTTAATTGTTTGTTCGGATCCTCCAGTGAAGTGTAGCATGGCTCTGCAGAGTGGCCCGTGAAGGCCGCCATGGGTAACTCCAGCTCCGATGGCCCTTCTGGTTGTGGGAGAAAGTCTTCTTGGTAATGAGGTTGTTCTTGATATGCCCAGGGGTCTGGTTGTTCTCCGTAGAATGGGGGTTGGTACTGGAACCCGAATCCATAGTTTTCTCCTCCTTGATTGCTGTAGGGAGTCACGGGGTAATACCACCCGGATGGTGGTGGATACCCCCAATGATTGGAGAAGCCATTAGGATCCATGATTCAGATCTGCACCAACAAAAACAAAAACACCCAAGTGAAAAGCAAGGGTGGAAAAGAAAAGAAAAACGCTAAAGTAACAAACTTCTGCCTTTCCTAATACTCTAGAAAGTCCCCGGCAACGGCGCCAAAAACTTGACTCGCTAAAACACAACACCTAACAATGGCCAAGTGTAACCAATGAAAGGGACTGCAGTATAGTGGCACAAGTAATAAATATCGAATCCACGGGTCTCTAGAGTTACCATTACTCAGCTTCAGTTCATTATCTAGCAAACTAGATTAAGGATTGATTAACTAAACTACTCTACTAACTAAACTAAGTAAAACTACTAGTTACAGTTTGGGAACTCACTTAGGTATGATTCCCCCTAGCTCCTCAATTAGGTCCAAGTTGTAATTCCTTTTGGTTGATTTACTGTTGATTAAACTGCGGAAGTTCCGGCAGTAGCTTGGAATCTCTTAAGCTGACCAAGCCCTCTCAGTCTAACTATCCGGCAGACGACTAGTCTTCACCGGGATAGAAAGCTGAAGCAATAAGCACAGAACTCCACTACCGGAATTGGATTCCAGTACAAAGGAGTAAACTGGCTAACTCTCGTATAGCCAATCTCCTACTACCGAATGATGAGACTCTAGCAACCTAATCAGATTCTATCTATCTCAGATTGCAGCAGGAATCAGGAAAAGTTGATCAGACTTCAATTGACTCAATAAACATGCATCATTCGATTATAATCAAACAATATAGCATCCAAAACTTCATACAAGAAAGATCCTAACTCATGGAACTAAGGTTCCTCAAAACCTAAGTGAAGGGAAGTTACTCCATAGAGAAGAGAGAGACTGCAGAAATCTGATCTAGATCTTCAATCTCCATCTCCAAGCTTGATTCCCGAGCTCCAATGGAGAAGAAATCCTCCAAAATAGCTCCAAGAATGTTCCCAAGTCGCTCTCTCTCTCTAGGGTTCGTCCCTTGGGTGTTTGGGATCCAAAACCCAGCTCTCCTCCTCTCCTTTGGCTGAAAATCGGTTTTAAGCAGAAAATCCCGACTCACACGGCCAGGGTGGCACGGCCGTGTGGCTTACCCAGTTGCCCGTGTGAGTCAAAACGCTGCGTTCCAATTAGTTCGAATTCCAGGCTCTTTGCACGGCCAGAGTGGCACGGCCGTGTGAACTTCCTCTTTGCCCGTGTTTGCTCACGCAGAATTCCACACGGCCAGACTGGCCTCCTGCACGGCCGTGTGGATGTCCTGCTCTGCCCGTGTTTGCTCTCGGCAAAACTCGCACGGCCAGACTACTCCTTCACACGGCCGTGTGATCATCAGGGCAGCCCGTGTGACCTCCTTTGTGACTTGTCTCGCGCCCGATCTTCGCCCAATCGACCCCGAACTCGCTCCTAAACCTTCATTCACTTGCCAGGACCTGAAATATCACAAACAAGCACAACCTAGCGTGAAATCGGTCTAAAACACGAGAAACCACATCTCAAACGGTGTAAGAACAGGGGTGAAAACATGTGTAACTAACGGTCCATCAGATGCCTACTTCAGTGATCACAGACGGATGCAAGTCTATGCGTGGCGCCATTGCTACTGTTCTGGTTGGAGTGCCTCTCCGTCTGTGTATTTGGCATATTGATACAAATGCGACAACAGTCGTTCATAATAGAGAGTTCGTTAGCGCATTTACCCACTTGGCGAAAGCACGTATATCGAGTGAGGAGTTTGAGAGGCGCTGAGAGAGTTTGATTAGTAAGCACGGTTTGTCTGCAAATAAGTGGTTGCAGTTGTACGCTGACAAATTACTTGTGGGCAGAGGCATATTTGAAGGATATTTATTTTGGTGGACTCCAATCAACCTCGCGATGTGAGTCCTGTAACCATTAGATAAATGGGTATGTGGGAACTCAATACAGTTTGCAATGGTTTGTTCAGGGCATTGATGAAGCACTGGAGGGGATGCGTTTCATGGAGGTGCAGGATGATTATTCTTCTAGGAACACGAGGCTGGTCTGCAAGCATGCCCTTCGCACATGGGAAATGCAAGCTGAAAGTATCTACACACATCGTACATTTGCTATCTTCAAGTCTGAACTAGAGAATGAAGCTTCTTATATTTTAGCGGAGAAAAGAACTGCATCAGATGGGACATAGACATTCATTATGAAGAACTGCATCAACCCGGATCGGATTAGGAGGTTAACATTTACTACGACCAATCAAGATCTAAAATGTGAGTGTGCATTATTTGAATCTAAGGGGTTTCCATGCAGACATATGCTTACATTAATAAAATATATGAGATACACCGCACTACCCTCCACGTGGTTCAAGCTTCGATGGATCCAAAATGCGAAGACTCTAAATCTTCATCCTGGAGTTGGAGGTGATGTGGGAGAGAAAGTTGGTCGACTGATAACACATGGAGGATTGTCTCTAAAGTGTAAGCGTTTGTGTGACATCGCGTGTGGTAGTGAAGTTGCTTTTAATCATGTCTCTAAGTCGTTGGATGACCTTACTCAATGGGCAATTGAGTTTTCGAGGGAGAGAACAGACACTACTGCACCTGCAAACCCTCCAGCACCCCTTCAAAGTGTGAAAGACTCAAAAATTGGGAAGACCAAGGGGACATTCAAGTCAGCACGAAGTGCATCGGTCAAAAGCGTAAGAAAGTGTTCGAAATGTGGCCATTTTTGCCCTAAGTGCCCGAAAAAAGTCCCAAAGAAAGATCTTAAATTTCTTCTATTATTTTTTAGGACTTTATTTATTTTTTACTGTGATTGCATTGTTTTTTTTTTTTTTGAATTATCTTAATAATTTATGAGTTAGTTGATTGTTGGTTGAAATAAACAAACACATAAAAACGGTCGGCCTGCTACAAGAAAATGTCCTATTTAAGAAACCTCCTCCACTCATTCTATACCAAAAATAGAAACCTATCCACTACATCTCCTATTCTTCCTCACCTTTCCCTTCTTCTTCTTCTCCTCCAATTTCAAAAATCCCATTGGAGAAGAACAAAAACCTCCAATCTATTTCATCCTCCTCTACTAAGAAGTAGAACAAGGTGGGTATTTCAATCTTCCTTTCATTTGGTTTGAGTTTTATGTTCTTCATTGGTAGATTAGATGGTTTTTAAAAAAAAATCAAAATCTGGAAAATGGAGGTTTTTCTGTTCTGTTCGTCAGATTTGGTCGACCTAATCTTATTCGTGGTCGACCGATTTCCTTTTGCATTCCAAATGTTAAGCTATGCTTTGATACATTCTCGTTTTTTATGAACTGAGGTTGACCTGTGATGCTCGTGATGTCGATCACTGAGGTTCTGCACTCTAAATTTACGTGTTTGGTCCCATTCATTCTCGTTTTTTATTCACCGAGGTCGACCTATGATATTTATGAGGTCGACCTATGACACTTTTGCATATTTTTTTCCTTATTCTTCGACCCATTTTTGTGCGTAATTAACTTAGGTCGACCTATGATGATTTTGAGGTCGACCTATGACGTTTAACACACCAAATATTACGCGTCTTGGCCTTCTTCTTTGACCAAGTTTGTGCTTGACTAAATGAGGTCGACCTATGACGTTCTACACTCTAAATTTTACGCGTTTGATCCCATTTATTCTCGTTTTTTATTCACTGAGGTCGACCTGTGATGTTTACGAGGTCGACCTATGACTTTTTTGCCGAGTTTATGCCTTAATCTTCGACCCATATTTGTGCGTAATTAACTGAGGTCGACCTATGACGTTTAGCCCACCAAATGTTGCGCGTCTTGACCTTCTTCTTCGGCCAAGTTTGTGCTTCACTAACTGAGGTCGACCTATGATATTACTGAGGTCGACCTATGACGTTCTGCAATCTAAATTTTTCGCGTTTGGTCCCTTTAATTCTCGTTTCTTAGTCACCGAGGTCGACCAATGATGTTTATGAGGTCAACCTATGACGTTTTGCCTTATTCTTCGACCCATATTTGTGCCTAATTAACTGAGGTCGACCTATGATGATTTTGAGGTCGACCTATGACGTTTTGCACTCCAAATTTTACCTGTTTGGTCCCATTCATTCTTGGTTTTTATTCACCGAGGTCGACCTATGATGTTTACGAGGTCGACCTATGACGTTTTTGCCGAGTTTTTGCCTTAATCTTCGACCCATATTTGTGCGTAATTAACTGAGGTCGATCTATGATGATTTTGAGGTCGACCTATGATGTTATTGTTACGCGTCTTAGCCTTCTTATTCGACCAAGTTTGTGCTTCACTAACTGAGTTCGACCTACGATGTTATTGAGGTCGACCTATGACGTTCTGCACTCTAAATTTTATGCATTTGGTCCCTTTAATTCTTGTTTCTTATTCACCGAGGTCGACCTATGACGTTTACGAGGTCGACCTATGACGTTTTTTTACAAGTTTTGGCCTTATTCTTTGACCCATTCTCGTTTTTAATTAACAGAGGTCGACCTATGATGTTTTGCACTCTAGTTTTGCCCTTCTTTGACCCAGATTTGTGCTTGATTTTCTGAGTTCGACCTATGGCGTGTATTAGGTCGACCTAAGATGTTTTTGAGGTCGACCTATTTATGTTTTTGTATCGTAGATGTATGTAAATGTTGGGGTTATTGATTCTGCTTGCAAGCAGAGGTCGACCGATGATGTTAAGAGGTCGACCTATTGTTGTTCTGTTTTGTCTATGAATGTAGTGTATAGGTCGAACTGTTCATAGAGAGTTCGACCCATTTTGTTCATTTCGAAAATGTGCCTAACGTTTATTCTCACTTGTTTGATCTCGGGATGTTTGGCGGCAAAAAGAAAAGAAAGTCAAACAAAGCGGCTGCCTCAAGTTCGGAATGGGAAGATTTCAACCCCTCTTTGTTCCAGACCAAGGATCAAAGTGACAAATTTGAAGAGAGGAGAATGCACAACCGCAATGTGGCTCTTGGAAGGCCATTAACGACGGATGCGTATTCTCATTTCGAGAATTACGGGTTTCTAGCACCCTTTGTCGAACAAGAGTGGTTGAAGGTGATATCTCTGAATGCACCATACTACCCAAAAATGGTACAGTACTTCTACAACAACATCACCTATCAGCATAATGCAAATGGATCCATTCATGCATTTAAAAGCTATGTGAATGGGGTGGAGATGCACATCAGCAAGAATGTGTTGGCGCAAGTACTAGAGGATCGAGAACCAAGCAAATTCAGACGGTATGTGGTCTTGATGAAGAGGAAGATGCTCAGGGTCGCAGTAGGCCAACGAGTAACCACCTGACAGTTCAAGCTAGAATTCTTCACCACATGATTTCCTACAACATTCTGCCAAAGGGGGGACATCGGAAGACAGTCACCTACTTTGACATGGAGCTCCTCACCAACCTACTGTTAGACGAGAAGGTGAACTTGCCATACTTGATCTTAAACCGCATGCTTACTGCTGCAGATAGTTCAAATAGGAATCTTCCCTATGGGATGATCCTGACTTTGCTATTTGAGCATTTTAATGTGGATTTAAGTGGTGAGGTTGGCTTAAGAATCTCAAGGCAGGATTTCTATACAGTTTCATCTATGATAAAGATGGGCTTTGCGCTGCGTAATGGTGAGTATGTCCGAATAAACAATGCTCATGGTGGTGATGATGATGATGATGATGAGGATGATGATGGTGATTCTGAAGAAGGAGCCGGAGACGAGCCAATACCGCATGCACAGAGTTCAACTCCACCAGTCACCTTAGAGAGTGTGTGGGAGCGCATGGATGACATGTACGAATACATGGGCTAGATGTCCACCCAGATGACTAGCATGTGCGACTACATGGGGCAAATGACCACCCAGATGAGCACACTGCAGGTGACCGTGAATGAGATGCGAGATGAGTTTCGATCTTTCAGTGGAAGATACATGCATCCCACCACATCCGACTACCAAAATCCTAGCAACAACAATGTAGAAAATGTGGATGAGGGAGAGAGGGGACATGAGTAGGAACTCGACAATTTTAGATGATGTGTTTTTATTGTTAAGTGTTAAAAACGATTGTTGATTGCTATTCTGTGGTTTTAGATTTTAGTTATGTGTGAACAATTCTGATTTGTGTTTTATTGTATTTCTTGTTAGTTTGTTTAGTTGTTATGTTATGAAGTTATGAGTCCTTGTTATCATTGTTTAGTTGTTATGTTGGTTTAACACATAATTTGTACTTGCATTGAAAAACTCATATTCGTTCGACCTAGTACCGGATTGGGTCGACCGCGAAATTGAATTACGATCTTCATTTTACGTCAAATATGATGGATAAATGGATACAACACTTCTCTTCAATCTGATCGACCTCTTGCTGTAAATGGTAGATCCTTTTTGTTAATGACCGCCATCAAGTGGTCGACCTGTATACCTTTACGGTCGACCATGTTGCTTCTGACGCCTTCGAAAAGGGCGACCGAGGTTTTATAGTGGTTGACCAAATATAACAATTTAAACTACAAATGGTCGGCCGTATGATCTTTGAGGTCGACCACGATGAGTCCTCAGGGAGTCCAAATTAGTCAATTCGATCGACCGCTGTTACGATTAGGTCGATCGAAATGTCCATGTTACGGTGACATGCATGTCACCATAGACACACCCTGAAGTTTTATTTGGTTTTAATATTCACCAAAATGTTTTGTATATAAAGTTATAAACTATGATAACCTAACTTCATTATGTTGTGAGGTGACTGTAGAAATAGTGACTAATATTGGTGAGAATAGGATTTCAATCTCATGTACACCTAACTATTGTATCTACATTTACTCATTTTTCTTCGGAGCCAAGGTGGATCCGAGAACCCACCTTATTATGCATTGGCTTAGCTCCTAGGTGAATATGATAGCATAATAACATTGATGCTAACATAAATACAAGTCTTTCAATTTTAAGTCTTGATGAAGGTTTCTTCTACTTTCTAGATAAATACTTTGTCCTTATTTTGTAATGAATCATATCTTTTCATTTTTACTCGGGTTTCAAATATCTCGCATTATTTTATAACATATCACATTCTTTTGTTTTAACTCGGATTTATTATTTTTTCATGTAAAAATCAAGTTTATTATGATCTACAATATGAGATCCACTTTGATATATGATTTAAGCTATGAAAAAACACGTCATTCAATACTGGTATGCATTTGGTTTCGACTAACATGCATTCGATCAATACTAATTTTTTATGTACATTTTGTGTTTCTAGTATACTTTAGGAAATGTCTAGCATACATTTATTGTTTATCGACTTCCAAAAACGATTGATCAGATGACACAATCACAAAATTGCAATGAAAAATAGAGGTCCACTGGAAAAAAATGGCCGACTGGTTGGCCATTACCTTATTTAGATTGAAACATGATTCCAGCACTAAACAAAGACTTCGCTTAACTCGAGTTAATAGCATCATAAATCTCTATAAATAACAATCAACGTTAATAGTTTTTCACTAAAAAAATCGTGTAAACTCATTTTTGTGGCTTTTGAGATTTATGAAGAAAAAAACGTCGGAACAACAAAGGTAGTTATTGATGCAATGCGGGTAGATTGACAAGTCGACCATGTTGGATGTTCGGTCAAACTTTCAGTTTCAGGTGCAATCACTTGTTTCATTGTCTTTAGAGTACTCTCCACGATGTTGATTTGAGGTAGGGAGATATCATTACCCCTAACCGGTCGACATCTCCATGATGCGCGGTTGACCAGTATAATTCTGCACAACTACATTTTCAACATCAAGTGGACCACAACATATTAGCGGTCGACAATTCTTCTCATTTGCAACAGTTTAATCACGTTGTAAGTGTATCAATCGATCGTCTATCTTATGGATGTTATCGACCATTTTATCACTTAAGGTGAGTTTGAAAAACATACCCAAATTAAGGCCTTACAATAATAATATTTTGACAATTGCACTTAAACGGAAAAGAATAGATTAGTCTCAAAGTTGGAAGTCAATTGTATATATCAAAGGCTTGGAGGGAGACATTTTTCTGTTTTGTTACCTCTCAAGTTGGAAGTCAGCAATATATATTATTGCCTCTTAGTGGAATAACATATTACATATGCCTGGTAAACACAGCTGACGACAAATAAGTGAATAATACAAACAAGAACATGCATACAAAATTGATTTCATAGAATGCACTATTTCTTTTTTCTTTTACATTATTAATTTGATGTATTTGCAAAAAGGAAAATTTTCTTCAAATATAGACGTTAGGAAAATTTTTTTTGGAGATAACGTTAGGAAATATAATTATTTGACAATGTAAACATTTTTCAAATGTATTGGTAGTTCAAAAGTCTTTTAGATGAGTCATGTTTTAATGGGCCACTTTATAATATTTTATTTTTTCCTGTTACATATAGTATGTTTCATTTTCTTATTTTTATCCTAATAAAGGCAACTACAAGACCAAACATAACATATTATTTGGGTATTTATTCATATATAATTTTAAATTTTAAAAACTATTTACGTTAAATTTCTTTACAAATCGTAACGATCGCAAAATAAATAATTTACTTGCAAACATAACCTATATTTGAAACCGATCTCCAAACTACTAATTACTAGAAACTAGTTCAAAAGTATTATTGAAACATAATTGAAAAGTATTATTTGAAAATAATTGGAAACATTAGATTTGTGAACAATGATATTCAAAAAATATCAACAAAGATATTCTAAGAACAATTTATAACATTCACAGTGTCACACAATGAAAAACATGTAAGATCCATTCATTTGATATCAATCTCAATATATCTTAACAAATAATCACTTGGTTTTATCACACAATCAATGCTAAAGAGTATTTTTCATGTGGCTCATTGCATATGTCAGTGGAGTCCTTGGTAGCAACAAGGTTAAGTTACTTCTTTCAATGATCATGATCATAAAAAGTAGAGAATTTATCTAGGTTTAGATAACCTCTAGTCATCCTATAGTAATCTAGTTGAGGTTCGAAATCTAAAATATCGTAATCAGAAAACTCATTATTAGGATAAAATGAAGCTAGCGAGTTTCAACAAAAAGACATGTAAAAAAAGTGACTTTCAACAAAAGGAGATTTGGCAAAAGAAGATGAATAAAATTAAGAATTTGAGACATTAAGATGAAATTATAGTTGTTGTAATATTATTTAAGCAGAAAGAATATATTATACAAACGACTGACAATTAAATTTATTATTTAATTGTGGTTAGGTAATAGAAATATTAACAAATATTGACTAAGGTTATGGTTCAAATCTTACTAGCATCCAACTACATATCGATATGTACACATTTTAGTTCCCCGAACCAAGGTGGATTCTGGGACCCACCTTCTTGTGGTTTGGCTCTATCTCTATGTATGAAGACAAAATAAGGAAGGGTGAATAGTGAATTTATGAAAAAAGGCAAGGACATGATTAGAACTAAATGTCTTGCTTTCATTTTTCTTGGCAAACGAGTCATGTGATGCCAAATGACTTAAGCAAACGACTCATTTATTCCTCTATAAATTAGTCAATATTAAGAAACGTCATGACTGTTTTTGTGCAGATCGAGAAATATGATGATTCGACAAAGTAAGAAAATGAAAACAAGAACGAACACGACACGCGATTTACGTGGTTCACTAACACAATGTG